AAAAGCTGGAAAACTCATGGGTTGAGATAAAGAGTTTCATAGGGAAAGCCAAAGCCACACACGAGAAAGCAAACCAAGGAACTCATTCCCTGCTCCCCATGGGCAGGAGGAGTTCAGCACCTCCAGGACAGCAGGGCCCAGCACGTGTGACAGTGACTTGGGAAGACAAACACCATCACTGCAAATGTCCTCCCCTTCCTCCTTCTTCCACAACTTTATGTGCTGGTATGGAATATCGTTTGGGTCACCTAACTGTGTCTCTCCCAGCCTCCCATGCATCCCCACCCCCCTCACCAGTGTGGCAGTATGGAAAGCAGAAAAGTCCTTGGCTCTGTGTGAGCTCAGCAAGAACAAAGACATCTCTATTATCAACCTTGTGTTTAGCACAGATCCCAAATGCAGCCCCAGAGCAGCCATTGGGAAAAAATTAACCCTTCCCCAGCCCAAACCAGCACAACAGGACACTTGCCTTCCTTGTAAGACTGGTCTCACTGGTGTGCATCGTTATGGTGGGACAGCAAAATGTAATATCAGAGGCCTTTACTGCTGCAATTCCGAGACACCTATCACATGCTCTGCATGTCCCAGGGAGAGGGAGTTGCCAGCAGCAGCTCCCTAGGGACTGGATGTTTACTTGTGCTACAGGGCAGCTGCTGATACCCAGTTTCTGTAGCTCCTGCTGCATCTCTCCCTCCCTCAGACAGGTGTTCGTGTTACCCAACAGCCGTGACATAGCTGCCAGTCCAAGTCGTGTGAGTCCTCCAGGACTGCTCTTGTATTTCCAGGAGCTGTGGCTCAGCCATCCCCTCTCACTGAGCTGGTCTCTGACGTGCCCAGCTGTACATCCCTTCCTTTCCTCTGCTTCATTGCAAACCCTGGTTGAACTGGCAGCTGTTCTGCTGTGAGCACATCTGTGTCTGCACAGCAGTCAGTCACAGTCTGGGAGAGATTTTAGCTGGTAGGAGAAGTAGAAAGTGGATGGCAAAGTTTTGATTACCTGTTCAGGAGAGGTCACACCTTTGGCCATTTCCACTAGTGCTGGTCATGTCCTAACCTTGGGGTGTTAGCTAAGATTTCCTCTTGAAAAACAGTTTGCTAAACTTTCCAAGTACAAGTACAAAGACTCGGTGCTTCTTCTGGTGTCTTGTGCAAGGAGTTATGAGGTTGTTCCTGTGTTGCTAAGCAGTTTTAAATTGAAATCTGCCTCCTGTTGCAGACTGAGGGGCTTGGAAAAAAAATCCAGTTACTAATAATTTTTGTTGGTGCCCTGGGTCTGGCTAGGCTGAAGGTAACTTTCTTCCCAGCTGCTCTGCTGGTCCTGTGTTTTGGATTCCTGGCAAAAGGAGTGCTGATAACACAGGGTGTTTTGGCTCCTGCTGGACAATTGCCTGTGCAGGCTCAGGGCTTTCTCCCCTCCACACCCTCCAGCAAGCAGATTTGGTGCCCCTGGAAGGGGACAGAGCTGGGATAGGTGGCCTGAGCTGACTAAAGGGATTTTCATACTATATAATGTCATGTTCAGCAATAGAAACTGAAGTGGAGGAAGAGGAGGGGGTGTGAGGTTTGACTTCTGGGGTGGCCTCTGCTTGGAGAGGGGCTGGACAGCTTGCTGCAGAAGGTGCTAAGCCATTACCTTGGCAGCACTTCGCCTTCTCCATCTTCCCCTAGTCCATCAGGAGTGCCTGAGCTCTGCGAAGTCCTGCAGCTCAGTCACACAACCTGCAATCAGGGATGGGTGGCTGCCACTCAGTGACATTCCAAACCTCTCACCTTTACCTGATGGGATGCTACTGATGGGGGTGTCAAACACCATGCTGTGATGTTGCACATCAAGAAGTGTGGGGCTCCAAGCACTTCCCCTCTTCAGAAAGCAGTTGCCCTCTAGTTGAGGTGAGCAACAGCAGATTTGCTCATGAGAATTTGTTCTTGTTTGATGTTGAAAACCTAAGAAATTGACCTTCCTATCATAGGAAATGATCATTGAAATAGGCAGTGGGCAGGGAATGACCCAGCTGTTGATGGTTTCTTAGCTCAGGAATTCTCCAACTTCGCCATTTTGCATTAGTTTTCATAGGAATTGCAGTGTCTCATCTTCAAGCCCCAGACTGAATTCAAGCTCTTCCAAGTCCCCTATGCCCTCTGCCTACCTGCTACAGGTCTGGTCCAATTTTGGAACCAGTTAGGCAGATGTCTGGGATGTGAACTCTTCTGCCTGAGCTGTTAACAAAGGATTCTGAGAATATCATCATGGTCCTAATATTGTGCACACCAGAGCAATTGCAGTGTCTCATCTTCAAGCCCCAGACTGAATTCAAGCTCTTCCAAGTCCCCTATGCCCTCTGCCTACCTGCTACAGGTCTGGTCCAATTTTGGAACCAGTTAGGCAGATGTCTGGGATGTGAACTCTTCTGCCTGAGCTGTTAACAAAGGATTCTGAGAATATCATCATGGTCCTAATATTGTGCACACCAGAGCGGTATGGAGTTTTTTTTTTCTTTCCCTGGGAAGGGTGTTCTTACCAGTAGCACAACAGGCTCCATCACATACCTGTGTCAGTCATGGTCATGGTACTTGGCCAGGGCAGTTTCTCCAGGACCAACAGTATCCCTGTTATTCTTTTGTATTGAATTGTTTATTAAATGAAACAATTGAGTCCTAAAGCAGTTCCAGTAGTGAGGCTTCCAGGAGGATTCCAGGCCTTAGGGTGGAAGGTGTTCTGCTCTGGCTTTGGATGTAGTAGCTCAGTCCTGGGGAGCTGAATTTAGGAGACAGAGCTGTTTGGAAATGTTGGGACAAAGAAGTAATGTTTTATATTCTAATTAAGGGTTTAATTACCACCGCATTTGTAAAGCAAGGTAACATCTTACCTTTTGCAAAGGAGGTTTGTGGCCAAATGCTGTGCTGTATGTTGGTGTTTGTTTGGAGACATGAGGGGGTGAGAGCCGTGTGATTTCTTTCTTCTAGGAGATGCATCCACAAGTCCCTCATTAGGAAGAGCAACAGCAAGTAAAGAGTTAGATGAGCAGGCAAGAAAAAACATCCCTGGGAAGAACAGGGGGAAGAGGAAAGCAGATGCTTCCTCCTCACAGGACAGTGAACTGGAGGTAAACAGTAATCTTGTTTTCTACAGGCAGCATTGCAGAACAGTGCGTGGGGAAAGTTCTTCTCTTTTTTTTTCTTTTTTTTTTTTTCCTCCATGGAAATGGATAAGGATTATAGAATGGTTTGGGTTGGAAGGGACCTGTAAGGGTCATCTAGTCCACCCCCTGCCATGGGCAGGAGCACCTTCCCCTAGCCCAGGTTGCTCCAAGGCCTGTTCAGCCTGTCCTGGAACACTCCCAGGGATGGGTACAGCTTCTCTGGACAACCTGTGCCTCAACTCTTCCATTGTAAAAAATGTCTTCCTTACATCTTGTCTAAATTTACTTTCTTTTGGTGGAAAACCATTCCCCCTTGTTCCATTCTACAGGCCCTACTAAAGGATCTGTCTCTATTTTGCATATAAGCTCCCTGTAGGCTTATAAGCCTTGTATTGAAAGGCCACAGTAAGGTCTCTCCAGAGCCTGCTCCAGGCTGAACAACCCCAGCTGTCTGAGCCTTTCCTCACAGGAAAGGTGTTCCATCCCTTTGATGATTTTTGTGGCCTCTTCTGGACCTACCTCAACAGCTCCATGCCTTTCCTGTACTGAGAGAGAATTTGGGAAGTTCCCATGACCCCTGTTTTCTGGGAAATGGCCCAAATGATTTCTTCATTTGTCCTTGACAAGCATCACTTAAACAGGTCTTGGAATCCCAGTGGTGTCAATGAGAAGAAATCTGGGTGTCTCCAGTACAGCCTCCTGCTGAGGGCAGGGCTTTGTCTGGCTGAGCCACAAGAGCCTTCAAGGTTGGAGATCTGTACCTGTCTCATGATCTGTCCCAGGACTGCCCCGTCCACCCAGGGAAGGAGGTTTTCTGTCCCTGGTTGGAATTTCCCAAGCTGCAAATTTCCTCTTCTTTTTCCATGTCAATTTTCCATCTGCCACTACTGAGCAGAATTTGTTTCCATCATCTTTGCAGTTTTCTTTCAGTTAGTAAGGATCTCCCTTAGTCTTCTCTCTCCTGAGATAAATCACCCCAGCTTCCTCAGCCTCTCCTCTGGGCTGCTGGCCATCTCAACAGCCTTTTGCTGGCAGCTCTCTGTTTCCTCACAGATCCCTGGCACCGGGGATGCAGTCTGGGGTGACCTTCCCAGTGCCAGGTAGGGTGAGAGAGCACCTTCTGTCTCTCAGCCTGACACACTCCAGCACACAGGTGGTCTTACCCACAGGGAGAGAGTGCTGCTGGCTCACACTGGTATCCACTCTGCCCTCCAGCTCCTTCAGCCTGGACCAGTACTAGGTTATTCCATCCCACATGCAGAATTTGCAGTTATTGAACTTGTAGTTCTGGTTGGCCCAGTTCTCAGGTTTATCAAAGTCCTTATGTCCTGACACTGCCATTCCTCATCGTGCCCAGTGTCTTATGTATAACAAAGGTGTCTCTGACAAACACCAAGGTCACATACCTGGTGCTCTCCAGATCACAGGCTTTGCCCCAGGAGGGCTCTAAAGGTCATTAGCACTCTAAGCTTCTGCTTTCATAGCTATAAAAGCAAAAGAAGCTTTTGAAATAGTTTGACCCAGAGAGCCTGACTGTGAGTGTGTAGTTGCCCTGTGGCAGCATACAAGTTCAACTTAATGTCTTCAGCCTGTAAGATGAGAACTGTTGTTCATACCTGTTAAATGCAAACTAACCACAAAATGAACCCTGAAACTTGCACCTTTATTGTTGCTCAGTGCCTGGAATATCTCAGCTCTAACCTGGTCCTGTTCTCTCTGCAGCGAGTGTTTCTCTGGGACCTGGATGAGACCATCATTATCTTCCATTCACTTCTCACAGGGTCTTATGCTCAGAAATATGGCAAGGTAATGCTGTCTGTTCTGTGAAGAAATCCCATTTCTGTCATACAGAATTAAATGTTAATCTTTGGAAAAGGAACAGAAAATTGCATTTTGTTTTAGATCTATAAGGTGATGCTTTAACTTGTTGGCAGTTTGGGGCAGGGAAGGGACTAAATTTGGCTTTATACAGAGCTAGGAGATGGACATCAGCAACACTTGCCTTCTAACAGTGCACATCTGAAAGTGTCAGACTGTTTATCCTCATGGGGGCTTACTGAGGTCCCAGCACACAGGGAAAAGAAATGGGGTTTTCTCCTTCAAAATGCATTGTGGGTTTTTGAATATTTTGTTTGTGCTGACTGTGAAAATGCAGCAGTCCCTTCTGAAGTGTTTTGTTACATTTTTGGGTCAATGTTTTACCAGAATGGGGATTGAGTTGTTTAAAATCTTAGGGAAGTTGTAGCTGACACCACTGAATGCAGCTAGAATGACACCAGGTTTGATGTGCAGTGGAAACTGTGCAGTTTAAGTCGTGAGAGGTTTATCCCATTGCCTTCTGCCTGCACACACAGTTCATTTACATTTCCTCTTTGTGTTTTGCCAGGATCCAACTCTAGTGATTGGCTCAGGTCTGTCCATGGAGGAGATGATTTTCGAGGTCGCTGATACCCACCTGTTTTTCAATGACTTGGAGGTATGTGGTGAATGTGTTAGAAAGGCAGAACTCCACATTACCATCTTAGAGTGACACTGCACTGTTTGGGGGCCTCTTGTGCCTCTTGTGCTGAAACAGGACAGTCTGACAAAGCTGAAGTGGTTGTAGGCACAGCCTAAACAGAGGTGCCCTCTTACCTGAGACAGGCACTCTGCAGCCTTCTAGTGCCAGGAGCTCTCTGGGCTTCTGTTGGGTTTCTGCCTGAACCTGTACAACGTGATCTCTGCTCTGTCCTGTGTCTACATCCTGGACTGATGAGCACTGATCCTGTTGTGCACTGGAGACCAGAGATGTGGGGAAGAGCTGACCCTGAGGATCAGTTCTCAGGGGTTGTAGCTAAGCCGTGGACAGGATACAGGAGGTGACATTAGGTGTGTAACGGCTTTGAGGGACACACTGTCACAGACATGGCCCATAGCACCCTCCCTTTGTCTTTCCTGCAAGCTATCCTGCTGCCCTCCTGGTCCCTTCCTGCCTCAAGGACTTCTGACCAGCCCCTGCCCTCGTTTGTGCACAGCATTCTTTGCCAAATTAAATACCTCTCACTGCTCTGCATCTTCCACAGAAACTCAATAGAAATCTCTGCTGTAATAATAAAAAATAAATTTGAGTCATTAATTTTGTAAGATAATTTTATTGAAATACTTTGCTGTAATGATAATTTCTAAAAATAATAATAAAATAAAAATTTTCTTTGTAATATGGCAATGCCCTGAGCTGTGTTAGGATGGGACAGCTGCCCAGGAAGGGTGTGGAGTACTCCCTCTCTGGAGACTTTCAAACTGTTCTGAACGTGGTCCTGTGTCACCTGCTCCAGGCTGACCCTGCCTGGGTGAGGGTAGGGTGAGGGGCTGCACTGGATCATGTCCAGCTGTTCTGTGATCCTGTGAAATAGCAAGTTTCCTGATTCATGTTAGTTTTGATACAGGTCCACTCATGAATGTAATTTGCAGAATTGGCAAGACTAGTTCAAGGCTTGGGAAGGCTGAATATGAACAGGCATCACTGATGCACATCATGGGAAAACAAGATGGTTTTGTTGATGCAAACAGAGACTTCAATGACGTTTCCACTGTGGCTGTGACTGCTGACAGTGGTGAACTTTGCCTAGGTGGTAATGAGTTACCTCCCTGCCTCAGGGGAAAAACAACCACAAACCCAAACCAAAACACTGGGAAGGGAGTCATTGATGTGTTAGCTGTGTGCTCAGCCACAACACTTACTGCAGTGGGTGTTGGTTGGTAGGTTAAGTCAGTAGGTTAGTGGGTTAAATCAGCTGCACTAAGCACCAGAGTTGAGGCAGTGCCACCACACTGTTGTTCCAGTCAGGGTTCCTGCTGTGGCTCTATTGATCTAGTGCTGGGAAAATGGAATAGCAATGCTTGGCCAGATAATGTGGGTTTGGGGTATTTTTGTTGTGTTTCTTCTTTCTGAAATGGCAGAAGGGTTTCACATGGCAAGTGAGCTTTGAGTCCAACCTGCTCACTGAGTGTTGAAGTTCTTTTTTTTTTGCAGACACCTTGAAATGTTCTAGAAATGTGCTTTTTTCAGCCCTTTCTGGTACTTTGGATCCTGGTGTGGGCAAGGACCTGTAGGGGCTGGGAAATAAAACCCAGTACTGGCAGACAGAGCTAGTGGAAGGTCTGTGGGTTTGTGAAAGCATCGTGGCATGGCTTGTTTCTGTTGGGAGGTGTGAGGAGGTTGGTTCATATCAGTTTCTTTAATCTGCAAATTCCAGTGTATTTCTGGATTCCCACAGTGTGACTTTAGTTTTGTGCTTTCTTTTACAGGAGTGTGACCAAGTACACATAGAAGATGTGGCATCTGATGACAATGGCCAAGATCTAAGGTGTTGTACTGATGAGTGCAGGAAATGTATTCCTGATGTAATCTGGCTTTGTGGGGTCTCAAACCCAAGTGGGGTTGAGGGATGGGGGTCAGCATTGTGCAGGGGATGGAGCCTGGCAAACAGTCTTTGTTTGCTGGGCGTCATTTCTTTGAAGACGTGCAAAGCATTAAGGGTTTTGAAATTATATTGTGAATTATATTGTCCATTGTTGAATGCTGCCTCTGTGCTCAGTGACACATGGGGAGTGGAGAACTAACACTCCACACCTGATGGTGACCAAGTTGGATGGGGCTCTGAGTAACCTGATCTAGTGGAAGGTGTCCCTGCCCACAGCAGGCAGTGGAACAAGGTGGTCGTTACGGTCCCTTCTGACCCAGACCATTCTGTGATTCCATGATCTTGATCTTTGAAGGTCTCCTTGTGGTTTGCATCCCTCTGAGAGCTGATGATGCTCTCTATCAGACAGGGTGAGGGTAGGTTTTGTACTGCATTACTGAGCTCAACTGGCTCATGGAAAGGTCTGAGAAATGCGTGCCAGGAAGAAGGAAATGCAGGGACAGAGGTGCAGCAGGATCTGCTGCCTGCAGTCATAAGCTGATGAAACAGATTGTCTGCTTTTGGAGCTGCAGCTGTGGTGGAAAGATGCAGATATTATTTTTGGAAGGTACTGGGCTGAGGTTATCACTGCAGGATGAGAAAAGGGTCAGTGGAAAGGATGCTCTGGATCACAGAGGAGTGAGCAGGCAAAGGAAGAAGGTTTCATAGTGGAGGATGTGAAGGAAGAGCTGCCCAGAGAGGTCATGGATTCTCCCTCACTGGAGTTATTGCAGACCCATCTGGACACAACCCTGTGCCATATGCTCTGGGCTGCCCCTGCCTGAGCTGGAAGGTGGGACCAGTGACCCACTGTGGTCCCTTCCAACCTGACCCACTCTGGGATTCTGTCAAGAGCTGGATCAGTGCAGCAGTCCAGAGCCAGCAGCAGCAGCTCTAGCTGGCTATCAGCATGTGTTCCCACAGGAGTTGGGCTGTGATGTCTAGGTGCTGTGGTGCTTGTGCAGTTCCTCTCTGAGGTGTTTTCCAGCTGCTCTCAGCACTGCTGCCTGCAGCCCTGCTGGAAATGCTGGTGGTTCTCTGCTGTGGCACAGCTGACACATCTGCTTTCCTCACACAGCAACTACAACTTCTCCACGGATGGTTTCAGCGGCTCCGGGAGCTCTGCCAACCACAGCTCCTCAGTGGGTGTGCAGGGAGGAGTGGACTGGATGAGGAAATTGGCCTTCCGCTACCGCAGGGTGCGCGAGGTCTACGACAAGTACAAAACCAATGTGGGAGGTGAGTGGGGATCACCTGCACTGAGGGCTGAGCATTCAGGGCAGCTTGTGGGGGCACACTCCATCCTTCCTCACAGCTTTGGCTGTCTTCAGTGTGTGGGCAGGAAAAGTAAACCATTCTCCTCATGCTAACTGGGATCAAATCCCCATGGAATCTCAGGGTGCGCGAGGTCTACGACAAGTACAAAACCAATGTGGGAGGTGAGTGGGGATCACCTGCACTGAGGGCTGAGCATTCAGGGCAGCTTGTGGGGGCACACTCCATCCTTCCTCACAGCTTTGGCTGTCTTCAGTGTGTGGGCAGGAAAAGTAAACCATTCTCCTCATGCTAACTGGGATCAAATCCCCATGGAATCTAAGGGGGTACCATTCTCCTCATGCTAACTGGGATCAAGTCTCCGTGGAATCGAAGGGGGTACATCTTCCCACACTGAGCAGTGAGGCAGTACAGGCTGTGAGGTACAGGGATAGGCAGGCAGGCCTGGAGCTCAGAGGAAGTTTTGGTGCAAGTAATGTCCCTTTGCTAATTTGGTGTGAGAGGCTTCCTGACACTATGCTTAGGGCAGACCTGAATGACTCCCCTGCCCTGGTGTTCAGAACAGGCCTGAATGAACCTGCTGCTCTGCTGTCTCATTCATGTCTTCACAAAGTTTGTCTTTTGTTGTGCCATTGTTAGGAATACTGTGGTCACCCCTGGGCTGTTGTGCTCACAGTCTGGCATGACGTCTCTGCCATCTCCTCACAAAATCTCTTAAAACCTTCTGGTTTTGCTTCCCTTCCAACACCAAAGCAGTCATAATGATGCAAACCAGAGAGAGCAAATGGAGATGAGTTTTCTGTTTAGTCTGGCATTGCCATCCCTGGGAAGGGGATGATGCTGGAGCAGCTCACCTGGCAGAGTGACTCGGCCTGGTGGGCTGTGGATTTGGGTACCCTTTGCCTACACAAAACCCCCTTCAGAGATCGTTTTCTTGGACATATTTTCTCAACACCAGGTGTTCAAAACTACAACTTTCAGCCTTAAAAATCTGTCAGTGTAAGGCTGCAGCTCAGTGTGCTGCAGTTACCTGTTTCTGATTCTGGCAATGATTCTGTATTTTGCACGTGGGAAACTTAGATGCAAAGTTTTTTGGGACCTGTGTAAAGCCACATGGTAAAGCAGCTGTCAGTGCCACCTGCTGTGGGTCTCTCCATGGCCTCATTGCCGAGGAGTGGTGTGGGCTTGAACATCACAGCTGGAAACTGGAGAGAGGTGCAGGCTCCAGGTACTCCTTTCTTGTTGTGTTTACTGACAGGAGCAGGTTTGGGGATGTGGGCTCTAGTTCTGACTGCTTTTAATTCAAAACTGGAGGCTTAGAGACAATGGTATCTAAAAGGGATAAGAAATAGGGGAATAATAAAAAAATGTCAGTTTAAAAGGGATTAAAGTGGAAGAAGTCCTTGGGAAGCTGGAAGTCAGAGAGGTGACTGCAGGAGTTCCTTCCCCTGCTCTGTGGCCTTCAGCCCTTGCTGTGAGTGCTCTGTACAAGAGAAGTGCATTCTGTTACTATGATTGTTTGCTCTATCCTGAGAAATGCTTTGAAATAACTGGAGGAAAGTATCTGCCCCATTCTGCATGATCAGAGTTGTGACTGGGTGTCTGGGCTCATCTGTGTCCCTGGGAGCTGGTGTCTCCCATTGCTTTGAGACAGTCCAGCTTCCAGAGGCTTTCAGTTCCCTAGGATTTATTGCCAGGCAGGCAGCTGATGCACAGGGGATGGCTGTCCCCATGGCAGGGGCACCATGAGCCAGCAGGGTGCCCCTGTGGCTAAGAAGGCCAATGGAATCTGGGGATGCATTGCCAGCAGGTCAGGAAGGTGATCCTGTCCCTGCTCAGCCCTTGTGAAGCACATTTGGAGTGCTGTTCTGGGCTCCTCAGGACCAGAGAGACATGGAGCACCTGGAGCAGGTCCAGAGTGCTGTGTCCAGTTCTGGGCTCCTCAGGTCCAGAGGGACATGGAGCTTCTGAAGCTGGTCCACTGATCAAAAGGGGCTGGAAAAGGCTGAGGGAGTTGGGGCTGTTCAGTCTTGAGAAGAGACAATGAGAGGGACCTCATCAATGCATACGAGTATTTGAAGGAGGTGCCAAGACAATGGATCAGACTCTGCTCAGTGCTGCAAACCAATAAAACAAGAGGTAACAGCAGGAACTGATGCACAGGAAATTCCACCTGGACACAAGGAAGAACATCTATCCTGTGCAGTCACTGAGCACTGAACAGATTGCTCAGAGAGGTTGTGGATTCTCCTCACTGGAGATATTCCAGACCCATCTGGACACAACCCTGAGCCATGTGCTCTGGGCTGGCCCTGCCTGAGCAGGGAGGTGGGACCAGTGACTCACTGTGGTCCCTTCCAGCCTGACCCAGTCTGGGATTCTGTGTCAGACTTGCCAGCTCAGCTGGGCAAACGTGTTCCTTACCTTCCAGGCCTGCTCAGCCCCCAGAAGAGAGAAGCTCTGCAGCGACTGAGGACTGACATAGAAGTGCTGACAGATTCCTGGCTGGAAACTGCACTGAAGTCTCTGCTGCTCATCCAGTCCAGGTATGGAACCTGGAAGTGTGCATCTGGCTTTCTCAGCCCTTTCTCACCCTTGGGTTCACATGCAGCACTGTGCTGCAGCAAGTGCCCACCTGTCACACTGCTGCCCTTTGGCACAGCTGCTGAGAGGCAAAGTGTGCAGGAACCACCCTGAGCTCCCTTTGGGATTTCTCTGCTGCCACACCTGTAGTTAGGCAGGTCCCCGTGATAGGACCATGCTCACCAGATTGCATTTCTGCCAGAAAATTTGTGTTCAAAACAAGAAGCAAACAAGCAGAAATCAAAAAACCTTGGCCTGAACAGTCTCCTGCAAGCAGGACAGCAAAGCACTTGGGGAAGCTGAGCAGGCTGCCCAGAGCAGCCCTGGCACCTCTGACTGTAGATGTGCTGTTACAGGTGTTTTTCTTCTTTTAGAAAAAACTGTGAGAACATCTTGATCACAACCACCCAGCTGGTGCCAGCTCTTGCCAAAGTTCTCCTCTATGGATTGGGCGAGGTGTTTCCCATCGAAAATATTTATAGTGCTACAAAAATAGGTAAGGAAGAGCTTGTGCTGAGTACCTGGCACCAAGGTGTCTGCTGGGGATCAGCTGGGAATTTTACATGGGACGTGCCATTGCTGCAGCTGAGCAGCCCCATGGCTCTGTGGTCCAGCTGGTCATGTAAGTAAGTCATGGCTTCTGGGCTCACTGGCTGAACTGGGGGTTAGCCCCTCCCAGTAAGACAAGAATGTTTCTGTACTGGGAGGAAGGGACCTGCTCAGGCTTTTGTTTCTCTCTGCCTAAGGCTCTTCACACTGGGATTGTCTTTGGCAGGTAAGGAGAGCTGCTTTGAGAGGATTGTGTCCCGGTTTGGAAAGAAAGTCACCTATGTGGTCATTGGGGATGGACGGGACGAGGAGGTCGCGGCCAAGCAGGTGGGTCTGACTGCACAGCTGGATCTGCACAGCTAGGTGTGACTGCACAGCTGGGTCTGACTGCACAGCTGGATCTGACTGCACAGCTGGGTCTGCACAGCTGGGTCTGACTGCACAGCTGGATCTGACTGCACAGCTGGGTCTGCACAGCTGGGTCTGACTGCACAGCTGGATCTGACTGCACAGCTGGGTCTGCACAGCTGGGTCTGACTGCACAGCTGGATCTGACTGCACAGCTGGGTCTGCACAGCTGGGTCTGACTGCACAGCTGGATCTGACTGCACAGCTGGGTCTGCACAGCTGGGTCTGACTGCACAGCTGGATCTGACTGCACAGCTGGGTCTGCACAGCTGGGTCTGACTGCACAGCTGGATCTGACTGCACAGCTGGGTCTGCACAGCTGGGTCTGACTGCACAGCTGGATCTGCACAGCTGGGCCTAACTGCAGGGCTGAGTCTGACAGCACAGCTGGGTCTGCACATCTGGGCCTGACTTCAGGGCTGGGTCTGCCTGCACAGCTGGATCTGCACAGCTAGGTGTGACTGCACAGCTGGGTCTGGACAGCTGGGTCTGACTGCACAGCTAGGTCTGACTGCACAGCTGGATCTGACTGCACAGCTGGGTCTGCACAGCTGGGTTTGACTGCACAGCTGGGCCTGACTTCAGGGCTGGGTCTGCCTGCACAGCTGGATCTGCACAGCTAGGTGTGACTGCAGGGCTGGGTCTGACAGCACAGCTGGGTCTGACTGCACAGCTGGGCCTGTCTTCAGGGCTGGGTCTGCCTGCACAGCTGGATCTGCACAGCTAGGTGTGACTGCAGGGCTGGGTCTGACAGCACAGCTGGGTCTGACTGCACAGCTGGGCCTGTCTTCAGGGCTGGGTCTGCCTGCACAGCTGGATCTGCACAGCTAGGTGTGACTGCAGGGCTGGGTCTGACAGCACAGCTGGGTCTGACTGCACAGCTGGGCCTGTCTTCAGGGCTGGGTCTGCCTGCACAGCTGGATCTGCACAGCTAGGTGTGACTGCAGGGCTGGGTCTGACAGCACAGCTGGGTCTGACTGCACAGCTGGGCCTGTCTTCAGGGCTGGGTCTGCCTGCACAGCTGTGTGTGACTGTGGAAGAAGTCATGGCTGTGGGACTAGGCAAAGTGCAGTCACTACAGCAGTCACTTTGCCTGCAGGGACCTTTGTTCCAAGGCTGAGCTCTTCAGGCCAGGACAGCCAGGGACAAAGTTTGCCTCTGGTGCAAGAGATCTTCCACTGTGTTAAGTTGGGCTGTTTTCTGGCTCTTGGGGGTTAAAAGTTTCTCGTTTAGTGTTGTTCAGGATTGCGTATAACACGGTCCCTGTAAGCAGTATCTTGGATTTGATGATCTTGGAGGTCTCTTCCACTGTGGTTCTATGTCCTGATCATGGCCTGTGGCTATTGGGATAGTGCAGTTCTCAGGAGCACAGAAGAGTCAGGGCTCAGTGGCACCAGCAGCTCAATTAACAGCACCTGCCATTAGTCTGGATTGCAAATGAGGAGCAGAGTTTGATTGGTTTGGACAGGCCTGGCTGGGCTGTTCAGTGGAGCAGCAGCAGTGAAGTGCACAGACAGCTGTCAGGACCTTGTCTCTGCAGGCTGCACACCTTCTGCCACCTGCCAGGGCTGTCATCTGCAGGGGTTCCCTGGGAGCCCTGCAGAGACTTCTCTGGGTGCAGCAGTAGCTCACAGCCAAGTTTCCATCATGAGCAGCTACCAGTCAGTGCTGGTGCCTGTCACACACAGAGGTGCAGCTGAGATGGGCAAGGTCCTTCCTGGGTGTGGTGTGCTCAGAACCTGCAGCTGTACCCTGACTGCTGTAAACCACCCTGATACACCTGACTGTCCTCTCTGTTACAGCACAACATGCCCTTCTGGAGGATCACAAACCACGCCGACCTCGTGTCCCTTCACCAAGCCCTGGAGTTAGACTTCCTGTAGGAAGCTGGAGCAGAGGTGTGACTGCAGCTCCTGTGAACCCTCTCCATCGCTGGGGAGGCAGGAATCTCACACACTGGGGACTCACTTTTCAGCTTGATGAAGAAAAACATACCTAATGCAAACTGTACAGTGGAAGGTGACAGCAGGTCATTCCTCAGGAGCACAGGCCCTGCCTAGCTCAGAGGTGTCCTAGAAAGAAGCTCTAGACTCAGCAGAGCTAGAGCTTGTCTGAAGGGACTTCCAGAGCCAGCTGAATGCCTCTGAGGTGTCTCCAGAGGGAGAGGCCACACAACAGAAGTATTTGTAAGAGCCTTCTCCTTTCTATTCAGCTTAGTTGTAGAACCCAAGTAACACAAAACCTTATTTTTATAGGAAAATGCTGATGGCAGAGCAGAACTCCCTTGTTTCCCAGAGCCCAAGAGCTATGTTTTTTTCATAGGAAATGTTAATGAAAATGTCAAAAATACCTCTATTGCTGTGAAATGTGTCCTCTCTCCTCCCCTGTGTGTTCAAAGCAGTTAATTTATTGCAGTGTCCTTATGTTATTTCCTCAGTGTGGGATTACTGGAAAATAGATAAGGGAATGCTTCTGGTCTTGATGGTTCCTTGAAGAGGAAAGTGTTATGTTCTCAGTTGATCCTAGTGGCTTCTAGTCAGTGTCTGCACAAGCCCAGTCAGCCAGCAGGAGGTCACTGGATTCCAGCCTTGGCCCAGACTGCAGATCCCACAGATTTTTCCCTGTAAAGGAAAACGAAACCAGCTGTGAACATCAGGCACAGCACAACACTGGTGCAGACTGCCCAGATATGAACAGAGTCCTCACCTGGACTAGGGATAATCTAATTCCTAAATCCTCATGAATGTTACAGAGAAGAGTCTGGCTGTGGTTGTTAACCTTCACCTCTGTGTTCCTGACTCTGTTTGTGAGAGTAAGTTTCTTCTAGTAGAATCAGATTCAATTTTCTTATAGTCTTCTTTGTATTAGTCTAACTACATAGTGAGAAACAAACCGCTTGGTAAGAGGGACTTCATTTTCTAAGACACTGTGACTCGGCAGCCTGGAGCACACAGACCTTGGGAGGGATGGGGATGCTGATGTTTCTGCTACTGTCTCAGAAGAGAGGCTGGAGGCAGTGACCTACAGTTCCCTGGTCAGAGCAGCTAGCTGGGCACTGGGGCTGGCACAAGGTGGGTCTGTGCCAGGTCAGGCTGTGCTTGGTGGCATTTGCCTCCCCCTCGTGCCCTGATGGCTCCAGATCAGCATGTGCTTGGGACTCCTACTCCTGCACCCAGAACTGCTGCTCCTGCAGAGCCAGAGCTGCAGCTGCACCCAGACCCCTCCACCCATCTGGGACCCACAGGGCCTGGGCTGTCACTGCAGGGAGGACACTGACCTACTGGCTGTGCCCGCTCAAGCAGGGATGTGTTTGCTGCATTCCCTTCGTGGCATTAATTACTGAGGAATGATTTCCATCAGTGCTGGGGGAGCTGGACCTGCTCGGCACAGGCTCTGCTGTGCCCTAGGAGTGTCTGTCTGTTCCTGGGCCAGCAGCCAGGGAGAAGGTGCCTAGAGCCAGAGGTTTGGATCCCCAGCACTCAGGGACTGGACCCAGAGGCTGTTTCACATGGTCCTTGCTCCACGTTCCTTTTTTTATTAAACTGGAGTCATAAGAGATTCTCCAAGGTGGTCCCAGGAGCTGGGAGTGACCTGCTTCCATCCAGCTCCTTGCCAGGTGTTGTCCTTGTTCTCTGATTCCAGGTGGAACCTGGGTCAGTGTATTTCCCCGGGAGCTCTGCAGCAGGAGCACACTGGGAGCTGCTGCCCATGAGGAGCAGTGTGTGCTGTGGGGTCACTGGGCAGCTCAGCAGAGGGGTTTGGCTGCCCTGGGGGTGCTGGTCCAGCAGAGCCTCTGGGACAAGCAGGGGCCATGCTGGGGGTGAGTTTGGAGAGAAGTCCCCAGAGATGTTCTCCATGTACACTAGATAGAGAGCTCAGGTGTGTTACCACTTGTTCCAGGTAGCTGGGGCTGCTCCAGCTCCATTGCTGCTGGGTCCATATAAAGTCCAGTTCCTCTAGGGTCCCTGTGAGGTGTGTTACTGCATCAGGTAGAACAGATAGGGTGTGAAGTGAGCTGTGCCCGTTGCTTGCTCCCGGGGTCAGAAATGTCACCAGTGCATCAGGATAATAGTCACAGAAGAGTCTGTGCTGGATCCTCAACACCCCTCAGCTGGTCCCCAACCCATCCAAAGGTCTCCTGTAAGCAGGCTTGGAGCTGTCCCAGCCTGTGCAGCAGCCTGTTGAGAGCACCTCTCCTACTCCAACTGGCTGAACTTTGGGATTAAACCCTGTGCCTTATCCTCTCAGCACTGGCGTGGCCGAGCAGCCGCTGTGCTTTGCTCCACAGGAAGCAGCTGCCAGGGCTGTGCTGGCTGTGCAGGCAGGGGCTGGGCTTGCCTGCTGCTGGACCCACAGGCCCGAGCAGCTGTGCTTTGTGTTTGTTTACTTTCAGTTGTTACAAGGAAATTTTAAGATGTTGGTAAGATTTTAGCTGAGTGTGGAACTTGCAGCCAGTGACATTTCATACTGATATTTATACGATGTTTCCTTGAATGTATGTAAAGTACTTTTATAACAGGAGGCTGATGGTACATTTCTGTGTTTGTTAATAAAGGGTGACCTGGCTATTTTATTTTTTCCTCTGCTGGCTGAATTTAAGCCTTTTCCTGTCTCTCCTGAGGCAGGAACAGCATCTCTATCCAAGCATTGATTTTTCTCCTGTCTCTGCTCTCCTGTTACCCCTGACCTGGCTGCAGTTGAACTGGTGACAAACCCAAACACCTGAAGGGCAGCCAGCCTGCAGGCCTGGGGCACCTGAGCACTCCTGGGTGCTGCCAGCCTCCCCTCCAGCTTCACTGCAGCCACGGGGGCTTTAAAAAACACCTGAGCTTTTTGCTGCCTCTCAGAGCCTCGGGGGAGGTGTCTGTGCTGGCACTGGTGGGAAGCAGCAGGATCCCAGACCCTGTAGCAGCCCTTGCTGTGCTGTGAGGGGTGAGTCCCAGGCACTGCTGTGTCTGCCTGTTCATGGTCTGTAACAGGAACTGTCCAATGAACTGGAAAAAAATAATAAAGTCTTTATTTTCTATAGTCAGTGCTCCAGCCTGTTCTCTGCCCGCCCTGCATCAGTCCCTGTGCCAGCCTGGGCCGCGCTCAGTGGCGCTGGCAGCATTCAGGGAGCCACCAGAGCCCCTTGCCCTGGGGAGCTGAGGACCCAGTGGGGCAGGGACCTGCTCCTGGCTCTGCTGAGGTGCTCCCTGCACAAACCTTCTTTTCCCTTTCTCTTTTGCGCAAGGCCAACAAACACCTCTCCTCCCATGCTCTGCCACAGCTCTGCTCCCTTGGCCACAGCTGATCTTGTAAGAGCAGCTGGGAAACTGCATTTCAGCTGTTCTCCCAGCTGTGTCCTGCTGGGAGGGCAATGGGGGCGAGGGGAGGGGGCCAAGGGGCACTGCTGTGGGCAGCCAGGATTTCAGCCAGGACATGCCATGGCTGTGGTGGGGCAAGAGCAGAAGAGGCAAGAGCTGCTCTGGAGCCTGCTTGGGTTTTGACACCGAGCTGGGGGCAGCTCTGCCTGGGAAGCAACAGGTGCCTGTGCCCAGGAGCTGGCACAGCCCTGCACTCATCACAGCCATGCGACCACAGCCATGGCCAACTCCAGCCTGGCCAGCACTGTCTCGTGTGTGGAGGTGGGAATGGCAGCCAAGGCAGCACCAGGTGTCCGGAAGAAGCCAGAGGCTCTGAGCCACCCTGTGGCCACTATCCCAGCACAGGCCAGTCACTGAATCATCCAATTTCAGGGGCTGGGATGGAGCTTAGAGATCATCCAGCCCCAACCCCCTGCCCTGGGCAGGGACACCTCCCACCAGAGCAGGTTGCTCAAGGCTTTAGCCAACCTGGCTGTGAACACTGCCAGGCTTGGGGCAGCCACAGCCTCCCTGGGCAACCTGTGCCACTGTCTCACCACCCTCACAGCAAAAACTTCTGCCTAAGATCTCATCTCAATTTCCCTCTTTCCATTTCTCCCCATTGCTCCTTGTCCTGTCCCTGCAGTTCCTAACCAAGAGTCTCTGCAGCTTCCCTGGAGCCCCTTCAGCTCCTGGCAGGTTGCTCTGAGCTCTCCACACAACCTTCTCTTCTCCAGGCTGCACAGCCCCAACTCTCTCAGCCTGTCCTCATGGGGAAGGTGCTCCAGTTCCTCTGATCAACTCGTGGCCCTGCCTCCTCTCCCCTCCCATCCCTGAACACAGTGATAACAGGTGAGCTTTGACCTTAACACCAAATGGAACATGAGAAGGAAAATCCTGGCTGGAAACAGAAAGGTCAGAGAGCCACAGCCATGGAGGAAACAAGCTTTGCCCTCCCCCAGTACCCACATCTCCACGCAGCAGCAGCAGGCGCAGCAGAAGCAAAGAGAGACCAAACCAGTGCTCTCTTGGTTTTTGTTTTTTTAGCTAACAATAAATAACAAGAAAAATTGACACAGCAGTGCAGCCACATGCCACAATGTCCTGGACCTGCCACAAACACCATGGCTTTCCTCGAGGCCAGGGGAGCTGTGCCATGGGACTCACCAGGTGCTTCCACATCACCCTTGGTGTACAGGCAGAGAGAAAGTGCTGAGAACTGCTCATTAGGCCTCAGCCTTAATGAACTGCACCTGGACTGAGCCCTTCCTGAGCCTATCAGGAGCACTGTCTGTTCCCTGGACCTAGTGTTGGCTGAACAGCTCCTGGTTTTTAATAAGGGGCTGATGTGCATGTCTCAAACACCAATAACCGATGGCTGTGGAGCCAACCAAGGACTGCTGATATTAACACAGTGAGAAGGAACAAGATTTGGCTGCAGAAGGGCCATGGGGAGATAGGACAGTGCCTGTCTGGGGCAATCATCCTTGGGATGAGAACAGCTTATGGAGAGTGAGAAACGTCTTTCAGGAGTGGAGGAATCTGTCCATAAAAGATACCCCCCAAGCCCATGGGGCTCCCCCTGGACCCTGACACCTTATCAGCTGGATCAATGCTGGAGTTGGGATCAACATCCCATCAGCCAGACCGACACTGGAACCTGGACTGGTGATCTCTTTTGCCCACTCCCTTTCCCTCTTTTTCTCCCTTTGTTCTTTTCTTTCCTTCCTTTAATTCATCTCTCCTTTCATTAATTTCTCCCTTCCCCTTTACCCAAACCCACTGCCCTGTGCTTCTATAGCAGGTCAGGGACTAATATCCCAATTTTCATGCTAAGTGTGTAAGTAACTAATAAAACTCTGATCGTTTGTATACCCTCTGACTCTTCTGTTGTTCCTTCTGACCACAAACATTTACAAACTTGGGTGCTTCCTTCCTTTAAGGGCAGGTCGTGACACCTGGTTTCCTCCAGCTGTCCAAAACAACAGCCTGGGGAGCAGAACTGGGGGCATGAGTACCAAATCTACCTCCTCTGCATGTTCCTTTGGCCCTCATACAGCAGACTCAAGGGCAGTAGCCCCATTGAGGAAGCTCTGCCGTGCCGGCTGGGACACAGGGAACTGAGCCTGGGCCAGCCACCGCATCCGCCTGTTCACAAGGTCAGGCTCTGGGAACGAGAGAGGCTCCAGCCCATCACTCCCCCTGGCATCCACCTCATCATAGCCACCTTCCTGCTGCACCCGCGTGTTGGGATGCAGCCACTTGTAGTAGGTGACCCTCAGCCCCAGCCCCAGCAGGTAGCAGGGCAGGGCGGCCAAGACCACAGGGATGAGGTATGAGTGCTCCTCTGTGGGGGCCCAGCCCCAGAGCCAGGAGAGGACCAGCACTGTGCTGTCCACCAGGATGAAGCCGTGGTAGATGATGCTGCGGTACAGTGTCCTCCCTGGTGCCACGTTGAACCAGCTGAAGTAGAGGATCACGGCCACCATGCCCCGGTAGAGCTGCTCGGGGCCGGGGGACTCCATAAAGTCTGTGCCCTGCAGGCTGACCCACAGGAACATGGCCAGCCACACCAGGAGGACGTGGACAGCCACACCGTAGGGCCAGAGCAGGGCGAAGAGGGCGATCACCAGGACGCGGGGGCAGATGAGGAGGAGGTTCCAGAGGAAGTAGATGAAGGAGGAGCCCACGCTCAGCTCATACTTGTCCTGCAGGAAGGAGCGCAGGGACTGGTGGTAGTCCAGCAGAGACCAGGACACACACAGGAATGCTGTGCCAATCCCCAGGCCTGCAAACACAGAGGTGGAGATGCCGAGGGGGGACCGAGGGGGGTTCAACCTGGCTCAAACCTCTCCCTGCTCAGTGCTGCTAGAAGGAGCTTCCCCCCAGTTTGCAGAGCAGCTGCTGCCAGGGGCAGAGCCTCAGCCCTCAGCACCCACATCTCTCCCCCAGCCTCCTGTCCTCCCCAAGCCAGAGGCTGGTGCACAGCCTTGCCCAGAAGGCAGGGAAGAAGCACTGAAACTGAGCAGCTCTACAGAGCTCATCACCCAGGCAGGGAAGCCCCCAGCTCACACAGGCAGCTGAGTGCATGGTTGGACTCCCCATCTCCCTGCAGTGACACTTGCCCCCCACCCTGGGACAGGCACTACAGCAGCTCCTCGGTGGCCTGTGCTCCATGCTCCACATCAGCACCTCCCCAGTCCCCAGTGTGCTCCTGATTTCTCCTC